AATTAATTCTACTAATAAGGGTGCATGAAATTGGGCCTTGTGGATCATGGAATTGAACCCAATAAGGAGTGAATTCTTCCTTTATAAATGCAAATTGGACCAAATTGGGTGTTTTGGGCAATTGGGCTTCTTTCTTGGTGGACTTAGACTTTTCTTGATGTGCTCGAACTTGGAATGTCTTGGGCCGATTAGATTGGACTCATCTTCTCCTTAGAACTTGTTTGGGCCGAACAATCTTCATTGTTTTCTACATTCCATAAACTAAGTACTTTAGGACTTGGAATGGATTTCTTTATTTCAACCGAATCAGCAAATGTGTTAAGTCTTATAATTCTGAACACCAATTGTCTCATAAACAACTCATACTTCTCAAGCTTAGCATACAAGTTTTGCTTTCTCAACAAATCAAACACTAATCTAAGGTGTTCTACATGGCTATCTTCACATGCATTATATATCAATATATCATCAAAGTACACAACCACAAATTGACCTATAAAAGGCTTGAGTATCTCATTCATTAGCCTCATAAAGGTGTTCAATGCATTGGACAAGCCGAAGGGCATCACCATCCATTCATACAATCCCCCTTTAGTCTTGAAAGTCATCTTCCACTCATCTCCTTTCCTCATCCGAATCTGGTGATAACCACTTCTTAGATCTATCTTGGAGAAGATGGTTGTACCGTGAAGCTCATTTAACATATCATCCAATCAAGGTATGGGATCCCTATACTTGATATTTATCCGATTGATGACTCGGTTATCAATACACATTCGGTAGGTGTCATCCTTCTTGGGCATAAGCAAGGTTGGAACCAAGAAATGACTCATGCTCTCTCTCACAAATTCCATAGAAATCAACTCTTCAACTTGCCTCTGTAGCTCTTTTGACTCTTTGTGATCACACCTATATGCTAGCCAATTGGGAAGAGGAGCACCGGGGTCTAAATCAATGTGATGCTCTATCTGTCAAAGTGGTGGCAAACCCCTAGGCAACTCTTGAGGAACATCTGCAAACTCATCCAAAAGAGGTTGAACTCTCGGGTGGAAATCAGGGTGCTCCGTCTCTTGGTTCTTCTCGGCTATGAGGAGTGCCAGGACCGAAAATCAAGTTTACCTGAATTGATCATGAAGGAAGCACTTAATGGTGAGTTGGCAGGCCATTTTGGGGTTACTAAGACCCTAGAGACCATTAAAGAATATTTTTATTGGCCTAAAATGCTGGGAGATGTTCAAGCTCTTATTAGAAGATATGGTTCATGTTAAAGAGCTAAAAGTCAATTCAAGGCTGACCAATGTTTACCCTTACCCATAGCCAAGCACCCTCAGGAAGACCTTCGCATGAATTTTGTGGTTGCATTGCTTAGGACCCAAAGGGGAAAGGATTCTATCATGGTAATGGTTGATAGGTTCTAAAAAATGGCTCATTTCATACCATGTCATACCACACATGATGCATCTAAAATTACCAAATTGTTCTTTAAAGGAATAGTGAGACTTTATGGAATTCCAAGAACCATTATTTCGGATAGGGACACCAAATTTTTGAGTCATTTTTGAAGAAGTTTATGGGGTAAATTAAGAACTAAATTGATGTTTAACACTTCACATCATTCACAAACAAATGGCCAAACTGAAGTGGTGAATAAGGTGTTGGGTCATTTCTTGAGAAGTTTAGTTAGCAAACATTTGAGAGATTGAGACTTGCAATTAGCACATGCTGAAATTCACTTATAATAGGAGTCCAAGTTCTACCACGGGTAACACTCCATTTGAGGTGTTATATTGAGTAAATCCACTTATCTCTTTTGATCTCACTTCCTTATCCCTTGATTTTAAACCAAGTGTGGATTCCAATGAGAAGTTAAAGCACATGAAGAAACTCCATGAAACTGTGAGGGCTCAAATTGAGAAATCAAATGAAAAGAACAAAAGTAAGGCTAATAAACATAGAAAGCCTAAACTTTTTTGGCCGGTGGATTTAGTATGGATCCATTTGAGAAAGGAGAGATTTTCGAGCAAAAGAAAGAGTAAGTTGGCTCCTAGGGTAGATGGACCTTTTGAGGTTATTGAAAGGATGAATGATAATGCTTATAAGGTGGAGTTACCTAGTGAGTATGGAGGAGTTTTGACAACATTTAACGTGGGTGATCTTAGCCCTTACTTAGAGGACAATCTGGATTTGAGGGCAAATCTAGATCAACCCGGGGAGGATGATACGTTTACAAGTCTTAAAACATTTGCAAGCATGAGTGGAAAAGGAATTTCAAGTTCTAACACACTTGCTAATTCGGTTGAAATAAATAAATTCATTCCAAGTCCTAAAACACTTGGTTTATGGAATGTGGAAAAAAATGAAGACTATTCGGCCCAAACAAGTTCTAAGGAAAAGATGAGTCCAATCAAATCGGCCCCAATTATTCTAAGTCCAAGCACATCAAGAGAAGTCCAAGTCCACCAAAAAAGAAGCCCAATTGCCTAAGACACCCAATTCTGCCCAATTTGCATTTATAAAGGAAGAATTCACATGATATCTTATTGGGTTCATTTCCATGATCCATAAGGCGCAACTTCATGCACCCTTAATAGTAGAATTAATTAGGACCATTGATTGACTTTTGATCAAATGAGAGAAAGCTTATACACCTAATAGAGTGGTTATGACCAGGATCCTAGATTTAAGGGTTTATGTCCCCTTTGCATTAAATAGGCACGGACTTTGTTTTTCATCAAATGACTTGTAATTTTTGCTGACTTTATTTGTAATTTCTTTGTATTTGTGATTTACTTTTCTGTCATTGTAATTGCCTATATAAAGGTAATTATTCCTTATTGTAATATTAGTCAAGATTTATGAAACATTTGGTTTATCCATTTTCAAAGAACTTGTGTGTTTTTGTTTGAGAATTCTTTATCCAAGTCTTGGCAAGGGGATTTGGTGGTGAATTAAATTTAAGTCTGTGCAGTGATCCTTTATGCTTGAAGGTTACTACTTGTCTATTTTCAAGTAAGTGTTTTGTGCTAGTTTATGCTTGGCCGAATTTGACTTGGTTTTGTGGTGTATTGTTGTTGGATTTGGATCAAAACCTTAGAACAACCACCAAAAGAAAAAATACGTCTCTCGTAACTAACTTCATTGGTGGGTGAGAAAATAGTGTTTATAAGGAGAGCAAAAGAAATTGTGCATATGAGGAAGAGCTTGTTAGGAGATCGCGCAGCAGAAAACATACACTCGAAATAAATAACATAGGAATAAAATCACACCACACAAAGAAATACGATATCTACGTTATTTGGCATAACCCACCTACATCCACAGATGAGGGAAATCCACTATAGTTTCATGAACACGATATACAAGAGTACACAACATAATATAAATAGAGAGAAAATAATCCTAGTTTCTAACCACGCTCAACCCTCAACCCAATAACTAAAGTGAAAACGATCCCAGTTTCTAGGACACTCTCCCCATGGTGTTTAATAACCCTTACATCAAATACCATGTATTCTCACATTCTCTCATAACCTCTCAGTCCTATATTTATAGGTAGTATATGAGATATTCTTATTCTAATAGGATTTATATTTTAATTCCTAATAGGATTCCTAAATTCTATTCCTATTTATAATTGTATTCTTTGTTAAATAGTTTTTCTAAAAACATACAATTTCACATGAGAATAAATAAGAAAACGAGTCACAATATCCCAACAGAGCTCTGAAAGCTTCTGGACACTGCTTTTTGTAATGGAAAAGACAATCATAACCACAATTAATTGCCATACGTTCAGATATAATAACAATATAAAGACTGCAATATGATTGAATATTGACATTACTAGATGTCAAATAAATTAAAAAAATATTACTTAAAGTCAGAATAATGACTGTCTATTCCACAATACAGGAAATAATATACAATGATGTATAAATGAAGAGACAGAGAGAGTTAAAATGCACCTCCTAGTTATATGGGAAGAAGGGCTTAGACTCTCAAGAGAGTTTAAAGACTTGTAAAGACACTACTGTCCTTGTGAAGAATAACATCGGTAAAGGTTTGAAAGTACAGTTTATTTCACAATAGGCTATAGGAACTTTGATCAGGGAATGCTCAAGTGATGGCTAAACTGAAAGAACCAGCAGTGTATTGACTAAAGCGTGAGCTGAATTGTAAGAGAAAGAAGTAAATAGAAAAGAAACAAGCATTACTCAATGGTCCAAAATATCCAGAGTTCTGTTAAAGAATTGGATGAAATCGAAAAGTGATTGGCTAACTCAGCTACTTACAACATTAGTCATTGTAGAATAGACCTAAGACCCCACACATCTTAACCTAGAGAAGAGGGATTTAAGGGTCTCCAGGTGAATGAAATTATCATCTGAAAGCAAATAAACCTTATCATAGAATTAGGGGCTCTTCTTATCCTACAAAAATATTAGATGCCAACTTTTGCCAAAATTGGGGCCCCAAACCCTCGTTGATCAGTTAGAAGTTGAAAAAAATTGAACCATAGCATCGCATAAACTAGCTTCACCCATTGTTGGTTTGAGCAAAATGTCTATGGTTATGGTTCACAGAGCCCAAATTGCCAATCATTGCAATTTAATATGAATTTTGTCCAAAATTTATACTGAAACCATGAGCTTCCTTATTTTTCAAAGTAAGGATGAATGCGAAAATCAAACCAACCCAAAACCTTCCATGTGTTTCACAAATTAATCAGTTTTTGTTTGCATACCCTCTTAGACAATAGATCAAAACAAAATGTTTTCCCTCTTAACTAATACAATACAATAGCTAATAAACATACACAGAAAAGTAGTCTAAACAAAGCAGGCTACAACAAAGGAGATAACTTTTCGCAAACATGAAAAATTGCGAAAACACTAGACATGTAACATTAAAACATCAAACTTGTAATTTCAACTGTGATTAAGTAGCAATCTTTTTGTATTTTCCAAACATTAAGCTGAAGATTCAGTATTAACAGTTACCTGTTCGTCCTTGTGAATCCTTGGAATCAAGAGAAACTCCAGCGGATTCCAAGCTTATGATATCATCAATGTCATCATATCTAGCAGCCTGCAAAACACAAAAAACAATTGAAAGCAATGATCAAATAACTAGCAATCTAAAGATATAGATAGAAATTTAGTCAAAAGTATCAACCTCGAGGAGCTCTTCAGTGTTCTCAGAGGTCGTCGTGTCGACTTGGGTATGTCCTGTTGCTGAGTTTGCTTCTTCCCCCATTAGTTCTCTTCAGCTGTCTTCAGCTGTGTAGTGTTGTATGGCTATGGCTGATGAAATAGCTCTCCTTTGTAAACAGGTTCTTAGCAGAAATGATTTCCGCAGGAGTATTATGAAGAGTAACCAGATTCTTGAAGGGTTTTAACTTTGTAGTTTTAGTTTTTGCAGAAATAGTCATGGCACTATGGCAGTGGAGAGAGTCATCAAGTCAAAATCTCGGGCCGGGTTTGCCAGAATAGGCCTGATGGGCCCAAGAAAAGCCCAACCTTTTTGATACTGAAGCCTGGTCGGGCCGAAAAGAACAGACAATAACCCTTCAAGAATACAAAGAATATGGGGTGTCACTACCCGGACTTGGGCTTGGGCTTCGGCCAGGTTTGCCCACACCAGGCCCGTGATTCTTTGAGATACAAGTAAAGCGGTGTTTCTTCAGCGCTTACGACAACTCGAGAAGTTAGGTGTCAAACTGTCAACTGCCCAAATCCGTTTTAGGGGAATCACCTTTTAATCCTTCTAATTTTTACACAAAATTAAGTCTTCATAATTTCTTAAAGTATCACTTTCATCCTCAAACTTTTACGATTGTCACTTAAGAATTGAAATACAAACACAAGGCTTCCTTATAGTCTTTTTCTCTCAAAATTTTATACAATTTCCTTCTTTTTCCCTTTAATTATCTGAAATAATTAAGGGTCTGTTTGTTTTAGTATTTTTGATATTTTTAGAGTTGGATGAGAATAACAAGGTAAGATTTAAAAATTAACAAAAACACCTCTCTAGCCTCTAGGTTTATAAATTTACTAAACACCCTTATAATAAAAACATTAAAAATTACAAAAACATCTTCACCCACCTATTAAATATCGGCAGCCTACCACCACCACTGGAGGATAGCCGGAGTTACCGTATCGACGCATAACTGGCTGGATCTGGCCGATCGTGAGCCGAGATGACCTTTTCCAACTAGATTCACGATGAATCTGGCCAAAAAATGATAAATCGGTGCACTACCGGTCAGATCCAGCCGATAGTGGGCTATTATACCAGATTCCGACCACCACCGGAATCTGACAAATGTGGGTGGGTGGGGGTGTTTTTGTTAATTTCTAAACTTTTTTTCGAGTGGTGTTTTAAATTAATAAACTTAAGGGGTTTAAAAAGTTTAATAAAATAGGGAAACAAACTGGTATTTTGAAAATAGTATGAATAGGATAGTGAAAAATATTAAACCATACAGACCCTAAATTACCTTTCTGTTAGTGTTAAATCAGGGTCTCGACATCCAAATAGCTTTAAATAAGGGATAAAAGTGTTACTTTTAGAAAATATTGGGTTAAAACTTATTAAAATCTTAGGGATGGAAAATGTTATTCCCCTTGGTTTATATCCTAGAATATTATACATCAAGGTCCTTGAGACTTGAGACAAACGTGTTGAACTGTTGATATTAAATAGGTAACACCTGGCTCATATCACCCACATGTCAACTTATCATACATAGTCCCATCCATCCAACTGGAACAATGAAAAAAAAAACCATTTTTAAATTATATAAAGTAATTTGGGATGATTTTCTTCACCTAATATTTGATTTTTGGTGGGAGTTCAAACAGCTATGTAATTTGTAACGATATCAAATTGATCCTTATGATTTTAAGAAATTTTAGTGACTCCTCCACTGCTAAGGTATGATGCTCACACAAGACCAATTTGTTGGGTGATGTCGCTTATCCACTCATATACCCCCAAAATCCAACCCATTTATGCACCTTTATAACCAAATATTCAACTTGAAGCTATCCGATATCACAACACCATTTATTGTTAAAAAGTGATGATGAACTTTGAGAAAGGGAGGGTTGCTAATTTGATGTTTTTAGGTATAACTTTATATACGTGATTTTATAGAATTTGTGTATAAACATAAAATATATAATAACCTACTATCTAACAGTGTGACATATCAATCGATTTGGTTTAATTCTCAACCTAATACCAATAATTAATTTCTTTAACATAAATACTAATCAATTGCTTTCATTGAATGAGATCAATGAGATCACGTAACCAAACCGGCTGGTACGGTTCGGTCCGTTCAATTTGACAATTATGTTATTTTCCAAAATCACCAATGCCACAATGATGCGATCAAACAATAAGGGTTTATCTGATATTTAACCTTAAATTTATTTAAAAAAAAAAAAAAAACAGAGGAAGTATTTATGTGAGCCACATGCCCCACTTACTGTTTGGGCAATTTGATCCCCAAAACCCTCTCTTCAGCATCAGAATTATTCTTCAGCATCTTTCTTTTCTCTTTTTTATTTATTTTTGCATAATTTTAGGTTAGATTTAGATTACTAGTTAGAACAAATAACAGATCTCTTCATTTCATTTTTAACTTAATCATCATCATCATGATGACTTCTTCAGTCATCAAGATTGACGGTGAAGAACTGGTCAACCCTGTTGCAAATCTCTCCATCTCAGATCAGGTCCTTCATCTTTTTTCACCGCTGTTATTAGCAGACCGTTGTTCGTTTCTATCTCGTGGTTTAGTTTTCTCTGCGTTTGGTTTGTGTGAAAACCTTAGCTTTGATGAAAAATTTGTGTAGATGAAACTTTTGAATGTGTTTTTGTTGCGTATTTAGCTGATCTGAAAGCATCTTTTGGGCTGTATCTTATAGTTTGAAAAGGGTTAGCGAGATATTTCGATCTCAAGCAATGGAAGAAGTTTAAAATTGTAACTTTCGGTTTGTTTTTATGAGCGATTGGTTTTTAGGAAAACCTTAGCTTTGATTAAAAAAAAAAATATATATATATTGTCTACATCTTATACTTTGAGAAGGGTTGTTGAGAGATTTCGGTGTCGAGCAATGGAGAATTTCAAAATTGGAACTTTCGGTTTTTTTTTTTTTTTATGATTTTCAGCGAAATGAAACGCTTTTCTTGGGGAAATATTTGTAGTTTGAATAGGGTTGGTGACATTTTTTTTCTTTGTATTAAGCAGTCAAGAAGTTTGATAAGGGTTGGTGAGATTTTTCGGTTTCAAGGAATGAAGAGTTGAAGTTTTAATCTTTCAGTTTTTTTTTGTTTTTTTCCTCTTAACTTTTCAGCCACCAGACACATCATTAGTGCTTACTTTTGTTTCCTTTTGTGGGATTTTTAGTTCTGGAGAAATTTAATTAGTTTGGTTTGTTATCTTATTGTTTAGAAGGAAATGCAAAGGAAAGCTGAGAACAGTGAGATGGGTTATGGGAATCATAGTGGCATTTGCGCAATTTGCTTGGATAAGATAGTGCTTCAGGAAACTGCTCTTGTAAAAGGTTGCGAGCACGCTTACTGGTTTGTCCAATCAAAATCTTTTATTTTTTTTGCTGTTATGTTGCAAATCTCTCTTTTTTTTTTTCTTTTGGCTGTGATTGTGGCGTTCTCTGTGTGTGTGACTCTTAGATATGATTCCTTACTTGTATGTTTAAAAGAATAAAGTGCTTATGGAAATGTCAGGGAAATACAAAGAAGTTGTCCTACTTGTACATACAGAGTTAGCTTTTGATGCAAGTGTAGATTTCTCTTGCACTTACAATTGTTTTGTTGGTTTTAAGAGTCTTCTTATCAGCATTACGATAGGTTGATTTGTCCCTCATCTTCCTTTTTGTTATTTCTGTTGCATGTATTGGTTATGCAACACTTTGGTGGAGTCTTCCTTGGTGTCCTTAGACTGTCTTTTTACCAAATGCTTCCTTCTGGTGAACACTATGCTATCTTCTGCATAGGTATATATAAAGAATGAAGTGAATGTTTATAGAATATGAGTTGAAATATTTCTATTGGTTTGGTAGGAGCAGAAGTTTAGGCCTAAATGGGAAGGTATTGTGTTAAACAGATGGGTGTGGACGTGAAAAAGTGAATTTAGAACTATGATCAAAGGGCTAGATTCATTTAGAGTCCAAGGAGATTGTTCATAGGCAAATAAAAGGAAAAGAATTTAAATTCATTCTTTTGGGTTCAGAATCATGTCTTTAATACAAGTCTTTTCAATTTGAGCCCAAAACTATGCCCCTATATTTCTCATTTTCATTTCTATTCTCTACGTTTCTGCTGTTGTTTTATCAACTTATGCTCATTTCATATTATTCATTACAAAACTGCTGTGAATAAATATAAAGTTTGTGTAAATATATGAGAGCGATAGTTAGTGAAGAGAAAAAGAAAGTAGGAAGATATTGTAAAGTGAAAGCTGAACTAGTAACTCAGAACTCTTGTGTATTTGCAATTAATTTAAGAGCAATGCTACGCCCGCAACCTATTCTCACAAACTTCTCTTACAATCTCGACGTGGCAGCTGAGTTGGCACAGTCATGTCAGTTCAACCATACCTAAGGCATAAAATGATTTTGACTATATCAAAGAAACGACCGTTCTTTCATAGGGAATGACCGTTCCCTATGAAGGAATGGCCGTTCCTCACAGAAGGAATGACCGCTCCTCACAGAAGGAATGACCATTCCTTATGAAGGAATGACCATTCCTTATGAAGGAATGAAGGAACAGCCGTTCCTTCTGAAGAAATGACCGTTTCTTTCTTGTAGTGCCTTGGTTGCCTTGGGTGTGAAAGGAGCTGACGTGACAGTGCCAATCTGTTGACATGTTAGGGTTGTAAGAGAAGGTTATAAGATTGGGTCGTAAACGTAGCATTTTTCTTAATTTAATTTGTTGCTTTGTTCTTAAATTTCTGTTACTCTCAATTATTTGAATAGATTACACTTTTTTTTTACATCTATTGTGAATAAAATAGAATGAGTATAAGTTATTGAAAGGAACCAAGACAGATTTGAGGTTGAGAATTAATTGGGGAGCCAAAGCGAAATGCCAAGCTCAATTTCATTCACCAACCTCTTTATATAGCCATTGCATAACTGTTTTCTTTGACATTTGTACAACTTAAACCTTGCAACCACAAAATGCATCTACTTTTTCCTTTGTTTTGATGGGTAGAAATATTTCTTAAACTATTTAGCACTATAGGAGATGGTGTGCGATGGGAAGTTTGACACATTTGTTTTATCTGTTTCAATTATGGATTGACATGCAAATTTGGTGCTGATGGATGTTCTTCTGTTACTTTGGCTGTGCAGTGTGAGTTGTATCCTACAATGGGCGTCATACAATAATACACCAACCTGTCCTCAATGTAAAAATCCCTTTGAGTTCCTTGACGTGCATCGTTCCCTGGACGGCAGGTATTATCTCTAATCCCCTTTTCCAGTTCTCTTTCCAGGAGTCATGTGAAGTTCCTTTTTAATTAAGAGGCTGGGGTCATGGTCATGTAATAATTAGAATCGATTTTGACAACACTATTGGCTGTGAAAATTTGGATAGAAATGCTTGGTTCATTAAGCTGAGGACAGATTCAGTCCGAAAATATTACAGAGTAGAATTTTACTTTCAACCTATTCTAAGTGTGAGTGATCAGTTGTAATTACGTACCAAGTGTTTAATGGGATGATTTACTGGATTTCTTAACATTTGGAGTGACTTCACAATTATGAATACCAACTTATTTTCTTGCATAATTGTTCACTCATTTTGTTTTGTTATAACAGCATTCGTGATTATATGTTTGAGGAGAGCGTGTGCTTACTTCTTAGGGCGTCATGGTTTAAACCTTTGGTTGTGGAGGAACGTGAAGTGGTTTATGATGATCCGGAAGATTATTACCTATATGAGGATGAAGAGGATGACCTCGATGAAGTTTACTTTAGCAGTTCATCAAGTCTTCGCATAGGCAATAGAAGGTGGGGCGATAATGGATATGTTAGGGCAGGGCGCCAAGAAGCAAGGCCTGTCCATCGCCCAAATCTGCAGGACTCAGGTGCTAGTTCCTCACGCGAGCGTAAAAAGAAAGAGGTTGCAAAAAACACCCCAGCAACGGGACGACGAGCAAAGAGAGCTCTTAAGCGTGAAGCTGCAGATAAGGCGGCTGCAGTGAAACATCAAGAGCATTTGGTGAGGTTGGGACGGAGCGTCGGCCCCTCATGTCCTCAATAAATAGCCTTAAAACCATGTACTTGATCGCCATTTTGTACAGTATTTCCATGCTTTTAACTATGTGAAATAAATACATATTTAGTTGGTTGGGTATGCAGTGATCATTGATCAGTAGTTGAATCACTGCTATGTTGTATCTTTGAAAATTCAGCTTCAGATTAGTCAACTGCTTGATAAACAAATTCCGAATACTTTTACTATTGTTTATCCGGGAAGTTGGAATGGAAAATAAACTGTAAATAAGCAAGAAATTTAACCATTGGTATGTTGTTTAGTGTTTAATAATGAATCTTTATTTATCAAATAATATTTATCCTCTGTTGGTAGTACTTAGTCAGGATTCTACTGTTTAATTTTGCGATCTAAAAATAAATTGTGTTGGTGATGGAAAACTTGCAGAATGATGACGACACAGATAGATTGTTATTTCAGAAATAATTATGAGATCATAAATATATGAAAGCATGTAGTGATCAGTAATTACAAGATCACTTTCCATCATGGTTAAGGATGAAGTTGATGAATAAATGGTAAGACATCAATATTTTATAAAGATGATTGCTTATGATTATTTACAGGATTTACCAAATCAATTTGCCGGATTAAAATTATGGAGCAATAGTAGATATTCAAAATGAGTAATATTGAACTGATAAAACTATTTTCATTAACTTTCTTTCATAAACGAGATATCTCAACTTATAATTGATCAGCTCACAATAGGTCTTGTTTGACCAAATGCAAACTGTCACGTCGCGTTTGTGAGAAAAAGTTAATAAAAGGGTTAGTTAACCTATCTTTCTTCATCCAGAATTGCATTGAACAACTTTCAAATAACTAATCTTCTTATAAAACAATGGATGATCATTTCTAACGTGATTTAGTATTCTACGATACGCGATATGAATCGATACGAGTCGCCAATGATACGTATTAAAGGGTGTATCATAAACTTTTCGATACATTAATATGTATCCTACGATACGATATGATACGTATTGGTCTGTATCCTTAAAAATATTAATATAAATTGATATGGCTTTTTTAATTTGGGCCGAAGGCCAAAAAATTTTTTCGGGTCAGGTTGAAAAAGATCGGGTCGGATCCACGTCACCTCAACCTGGTTCACTAAAACCCACCCAAAATTACCTATTCCTAATTTTACCCTAACTAGATTCACTCATGGTGAAAGAGCAGTTGCATGCACCTCAGCCTCTCGGTCCCCACTCCTTAGCAGTCAGCAATTAAACCAATTAAGCTAAAAGTCACCCAAGTTCTACACGAATTGATTCAGGTAAACTACTCTTTTTCTTTTTTCATTACATATTTGATTTGTAATATAATATTACAAAAACCTTGATTTATTAGTCTTGCTTATTAAGAATATAAAAATGTGATTTCTTTGTTGATTGTTGAATACAATTAAATAATATAGTATTAAAATACCAAGAAATTCTTAATTGCATTGTTTTATGGATAACAAATTTACAGACCTCTTGTATGTGAGTTTTGATTTGTTTTCCTTACGTTATGTTTCTTCATTTGGTTTTTTGCAGCCTCTTTTGGTCAATTAGATTAAGACTGAGATTTGAATCATGAGAAATGAGAAGGGAAAATTAGATGATATTACATGGGAGCATTGTAAAAAAGTGGATGAGGAAAATAGATTACATCTTACATGTAACTATTATGGTATACCATATTGAGGTGGTGTAATACGAATGAAAAATCATCTTGTTGGAACCCATATCCAAGATAATAATAACACTAGTGGAAATATAGATATTAATATTGATCTTGTAAATGATATAAATAGTTGAGAGGAAATGATATAGATTTTTAAGTTTGTGATTAATTTTGATTATGTAATACCATAATTTAAAGCCAATAGTATCACAAAATTTTTAATTAATCTTGAGAATTATATTAATTTTTAGAAAAAAAAATTATTGTTTTATTAATTAAAAAAAATACGTATCCTACTATACGATACGATTCGTGATATACAATTTAAAAAATTAAGTTTTCAGTATACGATATGATATACGATTTGATAACCATGTGATAAAATGAAACTGTTTATAAGTATATTTGATACTTTTAAATAATTGTGATTAGTAAATGCGTTTAATAATAGTAAATTTTGTAAGAGAGAGATTAACGCTTATGCTTTAGCCTCACCGGTTCACCCCCACAACATCGCTATATCATTAACATAACTGTATTATTTATTACTGAAAAAGAGTTATAGTAAGTAGAAAGTACAGACTACTCCAATATTATAATACATTTTTAAGCAGAGGAGAGCCTGAAATTCCAACCTGATTTGGCTGCCGAACCCTTACTGCCAAAAGAGAATAAAGCAAGACAAGCGTCAATCATCTGAGTCATCTCACCACCTACTCTGCCATTTATAAACTTTCTATCATATTTTTAGGTACTAGGTTACATCAATCACCGGTATCACAATTCAATATATTCATCAGTTGAAAATTACTAGAGAAAAAATTCGCATATAAAGTAAAGATATTCGGTCTTGGTATCAATTTGTAATACGTCCGTGCTACTCTAAATTTTTTTTTTTTTTTTTTTTTGTTTTTGTCATGTGAGTGGTCAGATTTCCCTTCAAGAGTCTTTTGACTAATTCGCTTGTATCTATTTATATTGCTTTCTTCTTCTTCTTCTTCTTCTTCTTCTTCTACCCCAAATCATTTGTAAGAAGAAAGCATGATGTCATGTACATAGTTCTTTGCTTAAGTTTTATGCGACCTTAATAATAAAGGATACTGTTAAGCAGTCTTAAATTCACACAAACTCAAAGATTAGCTATAACGGAAAATGAGTAAGAATGAAGTATAGATAAATTAAATTATAAACTTTATTGCTTGAATTGTTGGAACCTTCTTCTTCTTCTTTTACCCCAAATCAATTGTAAGAAGAAAGCATGATGTTGCGTACGTAGTTCTTTGCTTAAGTTTCATGCGGCCTTAACATTAAAAGATGGTGTTAAACAGTCTTAAATTCACAAAAACTCAAGGACTAGTTATAACGGAAAATGAGTAAGAATAAAATATAGAAAAATTAAATTATAAACTCTACTACTTGAATTGTTGGAACATACATATCATAAAGACAAAGTGGAGTGTCATATTTATATGATAGAATCTCCCAAATGAAATGTTAATATACAATGAATCCTTCATGCCTAAGTTTTCTACAACTTGCATACTAGTTGGCAATGAACAGGTCTTGGGATAGTTGAAGCAGGAGGTGGCTGCATTTTGACAAGAAGTGGTTGTAGTGGCATGAGGTGACTATAGCTTCCTTAGCATTAAGTTTCCTTAACCATAAAGTTTCCTTAGTGATGAAGAAATAGATGATCTCTTTAAATTTTTCTTACCAACGAAGAAACTGTTTAATAGCTTCTAGAAGTTGCTGTGCTGACTGCTCACCACATTGTGTAGGATGTTCGTATCGTCGAGCAAGCTGCTCATGACAATGAGGATGAAAAAGCTGGTTACTTGCCTCTACCTCTGAATCGATGTTTACAATAATTTCTAAATGTCAATATTCGGTTGATATTTGGCTTTGTTAGTGTGATGGCTTAAAACGTTGTCGTTTTGAGCAGAACTGAAGAAGCAATCCTGAGCGTTGATGAAGAGAGGATCCAAAGGCTGGAAATTAACCCTTCGGTCAACCATATAAAAGCTGAACTTTTTGGTAGATGGCAATGTAGTAATTTTCGCGTGAACTCTCTCTTCTCTTTGATACAAAATTGAGTCTGTTAGGGTTTATGATTTTGAGTGTTTGAATCTTGTAACTTGGTGATTGAGTGACTGGGTCAGGTCATTCTAGGTGTATTTGTATATGCAATCAGTAGGGATTCGAAGGGTAGAGTCTCCAGGGTGAGTTACAGGTTGAGGAAGAGATTTTAGGGTTTTCGTTACTGTGTGTAATTTGGACTGTAATCTTGGCGGTGTTTAGTGCAGCGAGCTTGTGTGTTTCCCGAGCTCAACGTGGACGTAGCTTATTCAGATTGAGCAAGTGAACTACGGTAAATTCTTTGTGTTCTTGTGTGTGTGGTTGTGATTCTTGATTGTGTGATTTGTGGTTGGTTGATTCTGTGTGTGTGGTTATAACAAGCTTACTTTAAAGCAAGAATTTCTTACTGAATCAAAAGTAAAAACTTTATATGTTAGAAATTTGTTACAGACCACTAGAAAACAAAACGTGAGTGTTCATGATTATGTTCTCAAAATGAAAGGTTTTGCTTTACCAGGATATATATCTGGAATTATATAATATAGTCAAAACAATTTATGTGGTCACAAATTAAAAGCATATTCTAAACAATGCAGGTTCACTTTGACTGGTCTATAAAAAAAAAGGGCTCAAACAGTCAGAATCAACTCATCAATTTTCAATAATGACTTCGAAGTTTGAACATATTAAATAACGGATTGCGTAGGCCCCCATGTCCTCAATAAATAGCCTTAAAACCATGTACTTGATCGCCTTTTGTACAGGATTTCCATGCTTTTTAACTATGTGAAAAATAAATTACGATATTAGTTGTTGGGTATGCCAGTGATCATTGATCGTGTAGGAATCACTGCATGTTGTATCTTTGAAAAATTCAGCTTCAGGATAGTCAACTGGCTGATAAACAAATTCGAATACTTTACTGTTGGTTTATCCGGGAAAGTTGGAATGGAAAATAAACTGTAAATAAGCAGAAATTTAACCATGGTATGTTGTTAGTGTTTAATAATGAATCTTGATTTATCAAAATATTTATCCTCGTTGGTAGTACTTAGTCAGGATTTACGGTTTAATTTTGCGATCTAAGAATAAAATGTGTTGGGTGATGGGAAACTTACAGAACGATGACGACAAGATAGATGTTATTTCGAAATAATTATGGATTATAAATATATGAAGCACGTAGTGATCAGTAATACAATTCACTTTCCATCATGGTAAGGAGAAGTGATGGAATACATGGTAAGACATCCATATTTTATAAAGATGATTGCTTATGATTATTTATAGGATTTACCAAATCAATTTGCCGGATTAAAATTATGGAGCAATAGTAGTGACATTCAAAATGAGTAATATTGCCTGGTTAAAACCATTTTCACTAATTTTCTTATAAACGAGACGTTCAACTTACAATTGGTCAGCTCAAATAGGTATTTTTTGATCAAATGCGAAACGTGTCACGTCGCTGGTTTGTGAGTAAAAGTAATTAAAAAT